TGTTGAACCCTATTATTCATAATGATCACTGTTGACATTTTAGTGTGTTTTCCTCCAGAGTTTTATATATATTTGTGTTGAATTTTTTTGAAGATTCTTTTGACATTTATTTACATGACATCTTTTCTTGTTTGATGCATTGGCTCTCTTAAATTTTGATGCTTTGATGTACTTCTAGTAATTCTGTCCAGTTGTCATGACTACTTCTTTTGGAAAAACAAATTAAGATAATTCTGATAAGTATAATTAAGAGAGAACCCAAATAGAACCCTTCTATACTGTTGGTGGGAATGTAGTTTGGTGCAGCCATTATGGACAACAATATGGAGATACCTCAAAAAACTAAAGATAGATTTACCATATGATCTAGCAATCCCACTCCTGGGCATGTATCCAGAGGGAACTCTAACTTGAAAAGATACATGTACCCGCAATGTTCACAGCAGCACTATTTACAGTAGCCAAGATATAGAAACAACCTAAATGTCCATTGACAGAAGACTGGATAAAGAAGCTGTGGTACGTTTATATTATGGAGTACTACTCAGCCATAAAAAAGAATAAAATAATGCCATTTGCAGCAACATGGATGGACCTGGAGATCATCGTTCTAAGTGAAGTAAGCCAGAAAGAGAAAGAAAAATACCATATGATATCACTCATACGTGGAATCTAAAAAAAAAAAAGACACAAATGAACTTATTTATAAAACTGAAACAGACTCATAGACATAGAAAACAAACTTATGGTTACCAGGGGGGAAAGAGGGTTGAAAGAGATAAATTGGGAGTTCAGGATTTGCAGATACTAACTACTATATATAAAACAGATAAACAGGTTTCTTCTGTATAGCACAGGGAACTATATTCAATATCTTCTAGTAACCTATAATGAAAAAGAATATGAAAACGAATACACCAGAAATTGACACAACATTGTAAACTGATTATACTATGATAAAAAAGGAACCCAAACAAACTTGAAATTATGAAGAGTTCATAACATATTGAGATGATATCTTAATTATAAAATAATACTAAACATAAATATATGCTAATGAACTGGAAAAATCATTTGAGGTAGGCTTTAGGAATATGTATTATTAGATTTATCTCAAGAAGAATTAAATTATAAAAACGGGGCAATAATCATGGAGAAAAAAATTGATAGAAATTATTCCCCAACTTTCATCCACTCTTCACAAAAGGATACTTCATTCAAGTGGGTCCTGTAAGTGATTTTTTTTTTCCCTTTGGTTGTAACCTGCTTTGACTGATTTCTTACAACATTTTGTAGTTAAAATGTTTATCTGTCTTTATTTTTGGATCACAATAGAGAATCCTTCCTAAAAACGATAGCTTCTTTACACCTATAGAAAAATCTATGGTTGTAAGTCTTTTTTTTTCCTTTACGCATTTTGTTTGGATCCATGAAAACTTTGAACTTTTTAAAGTTTTGTCCTTTGTCTTTCACTATTGTTTTCCCCTTCTAGAACAGCTGATATTCTGTCATTGGACTGTTCTATCCCACCTACCGCCCCCCATTTTTTTGGTCTGAATTCTGGAAGCCTGTTTTCTTCTTTTTTTAAAAGCTTAGCAAATTTTATTTTACTATATTTTGATTTACTTATGTTTAATTGAAGTATAGTTGATTTACAATGATGTTAGTTTCTGTTGTATAGCATAGTGATTCAGTCATACATATATATGCATATTCTTTTTCATTATAGGTTATTACAAGATACTGACTATAGTTCCCTGTGCTATACAGTAGGTCCTTGTTGTTTATTCTATATATAGTAGTTTTTTTTGTAAATATATGTATTTTTCTTGAAGTATAGTCAGTTTACAATGTTGTGTCAATTTCTGGTGTACAGCATAATGCTTCATTCATACATGAACATACATATATTCATTTTCATATTCTTTTTCACCGTAAGTTACTACAAGATATTGAATATAGTTCCCTGTGCTATACAGTATGAACTTGTTGTTTATCTGTTTTATGTATAGTAGTTAGTATCTGCAAATCTCGAACTCCCAATTTATCCTTTTCCACCCTCTTCCTCCTCTGATAACCATAAGTTTTTTTTCTATGTCTGTGAGTCTGTTTCTGTTTTGTAAATAAGTTTGTTTGTCTTTTGTTTTTTTTAGATTACACATGTAAGTGATATCATATGGTATTTTTCTTTCTCTTTCTGTGGAAACCCGTTTTCTTCTTAAGTTTTCTGTACTGTCAAGTTTATTTCCTGCTTGCCAGACAGTTTTAGACTATGTTACTTTGTTTTTAATTTTTTTATGCAATATTTTCAAGTCTTGGCCTGTTTCTTCCTTGTGTCTGCATAGTTTTATTGTGAGCACAAAGCAAAAAGAATTTTTTTTTTCAATCTCCCAGGAATCTTTCAGAAGGAGGCATAGCCTCTGATTCTGTATGTGTGCTATAAATTTCTTTGTCTTTTTTGGGGCAAAATGTTGTTCTATTTTTTGGATGAGGGGCAGACATTTCTGTTTGCTTTTCTTTAGGAAGAAGATGAACTTAGTATTGGGAATGCAGGGATATTCCTGAACTCAACCACAGACTTACTCTTAATTTTTAGAATGAACCATGGAGGTCCGCTGTGTTGCCATTGCAGGAAAAGAGAAACACTGTGCTATAATAAGATTAGAGAAGGAGCAAGAGTTGGCAAGACTGGTAGCCAAGAATTTTATAATATTGATTTTGCAAACCTTAGGGATGGAAGCATTGCAAATC